AACAAAGAGATCCCAAGACCACAAAATCTGGTGGTGAGGGAGGAAGCAGTAGTTTTCTATGGTGACCCAGATGCAAGGAGAGGCTTCTAAGGACTCCTGTCTAAAACCTGGTATCCAAGGAAGCAAGCACAGCTAGCATCATCAGCTAATTAGAAAGGTATCTCTTGCCTGCTTTGAAGCAGGTGGGCTGAGGACCAGGAGCTCTTCTGGAAGGTGAGAGCAATAGAGTGAGGCTAGCTATTAGGTCTTTGCTAGAAAAATGCTTGGGAACACCAGGGGAAATGCTCCTGTTATAAACCCGCGAGGGTTTTAAAATGGCAATGAGCTGACACGTTAAAAAAAAAACAGAAAAATTTAAAGCATAAAACATTTGATTAAAGTTAAGAGAAAAGCGGAAATAAAAAGCAAGCTCTAAGAAATTGTTAGTGCAGTGTCAGTCACTATGACAAAAACAAAAAGAACTCTGAGTTTGCATGGTGGCTCAGAGGGTAAAAGCACCTGCTAGACAAACCTGACCATCTAAGTTTGATTCTCGGAACCCAGAGCAGAAGGAGAGAACTGACTCTCAAAAATTGTTCTCTGACCTCCACATGTGCACTGTGTACTCGTGCCCCCCCCGCCATGTATCATACACATGCCAATAATAAAAATGTTAAAAACCTGAGATAATCAACTTAAAGGAACATTTTGTTTTGTTTTGTCTTTGGTTCATAGTTTTAGAGGTCACTTAGCCCTGCTGTTTGGGGCCCAAGGGAGGTAACGCATATTGAAGAAGCCTGTGGCAGAAGCTTACCTCATGGTGGTCAGGCACAAAGAGATAGAGGAGAGAGGCCAGGTTCCCAAGATCCTTCACGGCACATCCCCAGTCCCTTGACATCCTCATAGTAGGCCCACCTGCTAAGGATTCCTCTACCTCCCCATAGCACCACAGGCCGATGACCAGCCTTCAACACATGGGCTTTTAGGGGGCATTTAAGACCCAAATCATAATAGGCCCCACACTAAATTCACCTGGAACTTTAGAACAATACATGTATGCCTACTGACTAGTCATTGCATGAATATTTGATTTTAATAATTCCTTAGTACGGATACAGGGGCGAGTGCCACACTTATGTCACCTGTATATGTGGAGGTCAGACGACAACTTGAGGGAGTTGGTTCTCTCCTTCCACCATGTGGAATCCTGGGATTGAACTCAGATCATCAGACTTGACGGCAAGTTTCTTTACCTGCTGAGCCATCTCAATGGCCCAATTTTAATATATAATTCTTAATACTGACTCTAGGTTAAAAGGAATGAGATTTTTCTGCTGAAGCAGGAATGGTCGGGAAAAACCCTAATGATTAAAGAACAAAGCATCGCAGCCCTGTCGGATGACTCTCCCAGAGAGTGCTTGCGACATCAGGTGCTAACAACTGATCTCTCCAGAGATCACAATCTTTCTGAACACAGGATGGCAAAGAACATCTCCCACCATCTATGCGCAATTCATTTATGAACTTCAAAGCTCTAATCACCAGTGCTGTAAATCTAATCTTAGACTTGTACATCAACAGGTGAGCAAATGGGACAATATGTTTGGCTTAAGAGGGTTCCAGATGGCCGACCAAAAGACCATCATCTTCCATACAGGGGCCATCATTTCTACTCTAAATTCTTCAAGGACATAAGGAACGGACGATTTAAAGATGTTCAGAGAAACTCTATGAAAAACATTTTATTGACAAGTGAAGACAAAATAAAACAAGCAGAGATAGAGAGATGGCTCAGCTGTTAAAAGCATGCTGTGTTCTTGTAGAGGACCTGAGTTCAGTTCCCAGCACCCACACTGGGTGGCTCACAATCACCTGTAAGTCCAGCTCCAGGGATCTGACACCCTCTTCTGGCCTCTGTGGGCACCCACATTCTTGTGCACATACACATAACTTTTTTTTTTTGAGACAGCGTCTCCCAGTAGCCTGGGCTGGCCTGGAACTCACTGTGTAGACCAGGCTGGCCTCCCGAGATCCACCTGCCTCTGCCTACTGAATGCCAGGATTAAAGGCATGTGCTACCACACCTGGCCACACATAATTCTTAAGAAATCTTTAAAAAGATAAAATATGCATATGATTTCTCCCCCAACTACTAAGGAAAATACTACCTTGAAGATAAATATGCAGTTCAGTGTGTTGGCCCACTACTGTACTTTAACAGGTAACTGAAGACCCCCCAAAACAGAATGAAAGACAATGCTAAATATAGTAACTAAGGAAACCGGACGTTGCTCATGTAAACTTCATGTAGTTACTTCAAGAATTAAAATAAATCCAGTTCACTTTTCACGGTTGTTTATATACTGAAGAAATATAAAACACAGTGGCTTCTAATGAATGAAGTTAGGTTGTTTGCAGGAACACGGACACAAGTGGAGACAATCATACCAAGCCAAGTAAGCCAGTGCAGAAACAAAAGACAACAGCACAAGTTTTCTGTCATTTGTGGGACCTAGACTTTAGAGATACATAAAACCATATGTGTACAGATGACACCAAAGTGCCATAAAACTGTCCAGAGGACAAAGGAGACTAACAGTGGGGAGAAGAAAAGCAGGGCACGAGGATAAACATGCCCAGAATATATTATGTACTTGCATGGAAATGGCCTTATGCAATGCTGCATAACAAATTGTTTTTTTTTAAAGAAATAAGATAGGGGCTAGAGGGATGGCTCAGTGGTTAAGAACACTTGTAATTCTTCCAGAGGACCCAGGTTCAATTCCCAGCACCCACATGGCAGCTAACAACTGTCTACAACTCCAGTTCCAGGGGAATCAATGCCCTCTTCTGGCCTCTGTTGGCATTGCATGCACATGGTGCACTTATATACATGCAGATAAAACACTCATACACATAAAATAAATAAAACATTTTAAGAAATAAAGAAATATGATAGCTGGGCATGATGGCTCACAGCTTTAATCCTAGCACTTGGGAGGCAGAGGCAGGTGGATCTCTATGAGTTTCAGCCTGGCTGGGGCTACAGGGAGACCCTGTCTTGAAAGAAGGAAAGAAAGAAGGAAGGAAGGAAGGGAGGGAAGGAAGGGAGAATATGATGAATCATTCTTTGGCGTGAGCAGGAATTTTCCCAAATATACTAAGATGGGATTTAAAAAAAAAAGTTGGTTCAGAATGCTCAAAGACCATCTTTAAGGCACAATTTGTCTTTAAGAAAATCTAAAAGGCTGGGGAGATGGCTCAGTGGATAGAACACTTCCCACACAAGCATGAGGACCAGAGTTTGGATCCCCAGAACCGACATAAAAGCTACACAGGCTAAGATCCCAGCACCTGGGAGACAGAGACAGGGGATCCACAGGGCAAACCAGTCAGAGGAAAACACCTGACATCTTGGGGCCTCCACAATGTGTGCACACACACGAACAAACACACGTTTCTTCTGTGCACTGGCATTCACGCACACAAGAAAGCTCAGCTGAAATGATTTGGTCAGTTATTTGCTAACAGCCAAATTAGTGATTTTTAGTGTGAATGGTAACCACAACACTCATAAAAATAATAAGACATATAAATTCTCCTTAATAAGACGTAGTTAATAAAAATAGCTGGTTAGAAAATTTACCACAAATATGTCTAATTATTTTCTTGCTATCTAAATTCTTACAGTTTACCCCCTATGGCACTGTTGTCTAAAACCTTAAGGATGTTTCCTAAAATCAATTTTCTAATGCTAATTTTGCAAGAAAATTGTATTTTATATTATTAATCTCATTAGTCCAATTTTCCTATAAATAAGTCTGAAACATTTGGAGGATGCATGTATCATGAGTCTTTGATTATGACAGTCTCAAATGTCAGATAAATTACAGAAAAGAGCCAAGCTCTTGACACTTGGAAACACCCCACACACCATTTCTCATTGTTGTCATTTTAAAGACTGTGGCAAGAAGTCAACAGTAACAGTGCAGATTCTGTGGTAGCAATTAGGACACAATCTTCTTAGAAATCCTGCAAATGTTCAGCCTCTGCCTGTTCTTAATCTAACTGTAATTTAGCACTGCAAACCACTTATGAGAAGAAATTTACTTTAAAAGGCATAAAAGGTATAAGAGAAAAACTTGTATCTTCCAAAACATCAAAAACATTGACTAAGTAGCTCAATACAAATGTACTTGGCCAGCCACAAAATCCATTCCGCAAAAGCACATGAGGCTCAAGGATCTCATGAGTACCCAAAAGGTCTTTTTAAAATAAACTTGTGTATGTACGTGTGTATGGGCATGTGTGCGTGTGCACATGAAGGCCAGAGGTTGACATCTGATGTCTTCCTCCATCTCTCTCCACCTTATTTTTTGAGACAGGGTCTCTTCTCTGAACCCAGAGTTCACCAAATCGGTTAGACTTCTGGCCAGCGAGCCCCAGGGACTCTCCAGCCTGTGCCTCCCAGCTCTGGGATTACAGGCGCACACTGCCATACCCAGCTTCTCACTGGGTTAGGGGGATCAAAGCCAGGTCCTCAGGCTTGTGTGGCAAGCATATCGCTCACTGAGCCATCTTCTCAGCCCCTCAGAGGTCCTTTGATCCATTTAAAAGTGGCTACCAATCAAATTAACTTCTCTGAAATGAATCTATAAATGATTATTGAAGTCTCTCCCTTCTTTGCATGGACTCGTTCAGATGGCTTCTATAAAAAATGTAGTTGAAAATTAAATAGATAAACCCACATGGCAGCTAACAACTGTCCTTAACTCCAGTTCCAGGGGCTCCAACAGCCTCTTCTATCCTCGGTGAGCATTGTATGACACGGGTGCACTTACCTACATGCAGGAAGTACACACATACACATTAAACATTAAAAAATAAAAGGTATAGTTAAGGCAACACAAGTCTCATGCAGTTTGCCACAGTATGAAATTAACATATACAGAAAATAAGATTTGATTTGACATTGGAAAACTTGGTAACATACATACTCATCTAATTAAAAAATTAAAATCTACAATGGAACAAAATATATTTTATTTTAATTATACTCTCAGAGCAAGGCCCATAAGAGCCACGGAGTTGCACCCAGAATGCTCAGCACCAGCAGGACAAAGCCAAAGACTGCAGGAGGGCTCTGACTAGCACACCAGGCCCTGTCGCATCTGTATGATCTGAAGTAAGGCCGCCTGAACATCTTCATCCATGTGACCCTGGAGAGAAGACAGAAGAGAGGAAACAGCATGCATCGTTGTCACTGAATTCACAAGCTTCATCCCAGGACACAACTGGTTGTGTGTCACAGGCTAACCCCTCACCAAGTTAAGGATATACTGTACAAATCACTGGGAAAGGAGGTAGAGCTCTTCGGTGGGAATAAAGGCAGTCAATTCATAAGGCACACACAAGGCAGGCTCTGGACCCCAGGACCAGAGAAGACATGGACAAACCCCTCTCTCCAAATTGTCCTCTAATGATTAGGACTGCATACATTAGAAATAAACAAAAGTCAACTGAAAGGACTCTTGTTATTGTGGGTGCAGCTGATTCTTAGGGGTGTGTGTGTGTGTGCGCGCGGGTGCTATACATATGGACAAGCATGCGTGAGCACGTGGAGGCTGATGCTGGGCTTCTTCCTTGATTGCTCTCCACCTTATTTCTTAAGACAGGGTCTCTCACTTCAACCCAGGGCATGCTGATAAGGCTAGTTTCCCCAGCCAGTTTGCCCGAGGGCTTCCCACCTCTGCCTCCTGAGACCTGGGATGACAGGTGGGCTGTCACACCTACCCAACATTTAAATGGGTGTGGGGGATCCTAACTCTGATCCTCATACTTCCACCAAAGTGCTTTACCCACTGAGCCATCTCCCCAGCCCCTGATTTTTTTTTAATCAGTAAAAGAATTGAGGAAAACCCGTTTCCATACTTATAATTTTCACATAAACAGGGTCATATGGCATATCTCTAGGACTCAGTGTCCTAGAAATCTTTCTCCAGAGCCACTTGTTTCAACTTTTTATAATATGATTTCCATTGTATGGACATACTAAGTTTCTTTAGCCTTTCCTAATAATGGACATTAAAGATATATCTAATCTCTTTAGACTGATACTTGGAGAAGAGATTCCTGATTCAAAAGGCAAGCTCAAAGTCAGGTGTGGTAGTCAACACCTACAATCCCATCACTCAGGAAGTGGAGGCAGAAGGATCAGGATTCAAGGGCAGCCTGGGATACATGAGACCAGTCTCAAAAAAATTAAAAAGAAAAAATAACAATAGCAAAATCAGGCTCAATATTTAATTTTTCAAAGCACAACAAAATTTCCTCAATAGAAATATTTGATGGTAGAAAGGCCCATTTCCCAAATACTCTGGCAAATGCTACAGACTATCATCTGTGCCAGGCTTCCAGGTAAAATTGGTGCCTCTTGTTCACTGGCACCCCACCACTAAGTCAAGAGTCCTTTCACAAGCATATCAGCCATTTGTATTTTAAACAAAGCAATAAAGTAGGGGCTAGGGAGATGGCTCAGTGGGTAGGAGTGTTTGTTCTGCAAGCTAGTGGACCCAATTCAAACCCCCAGCACTCATGTAAAAAGTTGGGTATGGTGAACTCACCTGCAACCACAGCATTGTGAAATGGAGATAGGCCAGCTAGGTTATTGGAAATAGGGAGCTTCAGGTTTAATGAGAGACTATGTCTCAAGGGAATAAGGCAGAAAGGGATAAGGAAGACACGTGACATCTGACATCTAGTTCTGACCTCTGCACCTGCACTCTGGAACATATACACCACATGTACACACATACATGGAGACACAGACACACACAGACACATGTACACATATAGATATACAGACACAGAGACATAGATATACACACACATACACAGACACATACAGAGACACACATATATATAAAGACACACAGATACACACACATACACATACACACAGACACACATACATACACACAAAGACACACACATACACACATGTACATACACAGAAACACACACACAGACACATAATTTTTTTAAGTAAGAAAAGGTTACTAATGCAAGTATGTGGTGGCTCACCACAGCCCTCACATTTCTGTCTCCTGCCTGCTGGAGCATCTGAACAGACACTTGTGTGAATATGAAAAGCTCTGCTTCCCAGATCTGCTCTTACGACGGCAGGGGGTTTAGGTTTCAAACATTAGCCACAGTTGACTAAACTGGATCCTTAGGTAACTTTATGACTTCAGGCAGCAAGTCCACATCAGGTGCCCACTGCTGGTCTTCTGTTTTATGGGCACTCAGCAGAAACCAATTCAGATCTCAGAAGTACGGATTACCAAGGCAGGTTTGTGACTCTGTCACATTTTTTAGTGAGAGCAAGCTCTGCCTCCTTTGACCAAGACCAGTATGTTTTTCATCCTTGTGTGTGTGTGTGTGTGTGTGTGTGTGTGTGTGTGTGTATAAGCATGTACATGTGTGTGCAGGAGGACACTGGGTGCTCTGTTCTATCACTCTCCACCTTATTCCCTTATGGAGAGTCTCTCACTGAGCCTGGCACTAGGCTGGCAGTCCGTGAGCCCCGGCAATCCTCCTGTCGCTGTACCCCTTGGGGCTTGGGTTACAGGCAAACACACAGCCACACTGGCTTATTCGATGAGCACTGGAACCCAGAACTCAGGTCCCCCTCACGCCTGAGCAACAGCACTTTTGCCCACCGCGGCATCTCCCCAGCCTGGTTTTCTGTTTCCATTTCCCTTCCTGAACTTCCTATGCTGGAACTCATCTACAGCTTTCTCTAGTAAGGACAATACGCATTCCCATTGCAGCGTTCGCACTACCTGCTCAGAAGGTACCAGGAAGAAGCTCCCTCCATCCTCATAGAAAAATCAGGACTACTGACTTTAAGAATCTGATGTCACCTAGTAGCTTTATGTTTATGCTTTGACTTCTTTACTAAAAAAAAAAAAAATGCTTCTTTAAAGTTTGCTCTCAGCACCCATCTTTCCTCCACCCTTCCTTCTTTTTCTGTAAAAGAGTGTGTGTGGCCTAACACATTTCAAATCCACATAATTCCTATTATCTCTCACTTGTCACTCCAACATTTGTCTCTTTTCGTTATCTTCCTGAAAAATCTATTCTGAGAATTCTAGAGATGCTCTTCTCACTTCCAGGGAGTGGTAACAATGCATCCTTTACATCTTAGTATGACTTTAAAAGGAAATAAAGGCGCTCGCCGCACACCACCACAGAAGAGAATTTATAATCTTATGCTTCACTGAGTTTAAGGCTCAATAAATATCAATTATCTCTTAAAAGACCAATTTTTTCCCTTAGCTATTAAATTCTGTGCACACCCTCTTTGCCATCTTCAGAATTCTCTAGAATTCTCTATTTCAAAGAAACCGTCCTAAGTAACCACAAAACATATGCAAGCCTCTCCACTCTCCTCTTTCAGCCGACAGCCACGTGTGGATGTCAAGGCATCATCCCAGCTGACGACACTGTTAACGTGAGCTGCCACCAAGTGTTGCCAAACTGTCTAGGGGATGAGTGACGAGCAGATGGAGATAACACTAAATTTAAGATGTTGTGTTGCCGTATCGCTTTGTAAATTGTTCTGGGGGATATGCAAGCCATGATTAAAAGAAACACAATTATTTTTAAATAAGCATATGGGTTACAGCAACTTCAAATGTTAATTATGCTCACATAAGTTTACTTAAAAATAAAAACAGTATTTGGTTTTCTCTAAAATGAACACCCTTTCCAAAGGCTCCAAGGCTCTCACCTGAGCGGCACTGAGCAGGTGAGTCCTGTAGATAGCAATGATCTTCTGGTGTTGTCTGTCACCATCCTAGAAATGTGGAAAGACAGATGGATGAGAACATCAGCACTCACCTCTGCAAACATGGGTGGCTCCTGACAATGCTGTCCCGAGGCCTTTTTGATAATCCAATCAGAAATTTACCACCATTAATCTATAGGTCAACAGAATTTTTTAAATGATTCCTTAAATTGTGTTGGTCAGCTTTCTGTTACTATAACAAAATACCCAAGAAAATCAGATTGAAAAAGGAAAAGTTTATGTCGGTTCATGGTTTCAGAGTTTCAGCCTGTGGTTGGCTGATCTCACTGTTTTGAACTCTTGTGTTGTAGCATACTGTGATGGGGAGGTAAGTCACGTTTCTCACATAGTACACAAATGCAGAGTAGTGGAGATGGGGCCCCAGGATCCCCATCAGAGTGGATGCTCCTGGTGAGCACAAGACCTTCCAGCAGGCCGGCCTCTTAGAGCTTCCTCCACCTCCTCCTTAGTTGAGGTCTAAGTTTTCGTAAGTGGCTCTTTGGGGGACAGTTCAAATCCAAAGTATAGTGATAACTTTCTTCCATTCTAAGCTGATTCATAACAATTCCTACAAAATGAGGAAATGCTAGCAAGAATTTACATTTGATTAGGTTATGTTTTTCTTAATATTCCAGTGTGTAATGACTCATTCAGGTAAAGATATGAGTAAGAAATCCATTATTATCCTATTTTTTTGGATGGAGAGCCAAGGACTAACAGGAGTAGTCCATGTGGTGTTAGACTGGAACTCCTGTTTTAGCTCCAAATCCAGGTGCCTTCTTTTTTAAAAAATATTTTATTATTTTTATTTTATGTGTGTGAGTGTATTGCTTGCATGTATGTAAGTGCACCCATGTCATGCGATGCCAGAGGAGATCAGAAGAGGGCATTGGATCCCCTGGGATTGGTGTTACAGATGGTTGCTAGCTGCCACGTGGGTGCCAGGAATCAAACCTGGGTCATTTGCAAGAGCAGCCAGTGCTCTTGACTGCTGGGCCATCTCTCCAGCTCCAGGAGCCATCTTTTTAATGTATATAGATACACAGAAGGAAAGCACAGGGATGCTTGTCTTACTTACAAAGATGAAAAGTGACAAAAACCTCCCTTAGTTTAGTGGATAGATATTTTAGCAAGCATACCACAGGAGGAAGATGATAGGCTGGGAGCTGGCTGCCCATCCTGGGATGCTCAACCTCAAACATCAAGGATTTTAAACTCTATTTTCTTAAGAATTAAAGAGCAGGAATCGAGGCTGAAGGTGTGACTCAGTGGTTAAGAGCACTGGCTGCTCATGCACAGGACTGGGGTTCCATTCTCAGCACCCACATGGTGGCTTACAACTATCAGTAATTCCACTTCCAAGGGATCCAATGCCCTCTTCTGGCTTCTTTGGGCATTGCACACATGTAGTGTACCTACAACTCATACAGGCAAAACACTCATACACATAAAATAAAAATAAATAAAATTTATAAGAAAATAATAATAATAATAATAAAGGGTTTAGGAATGACTTTTATAAATGAATAGAAAGTAGATTAATGACTTTCAATTAACCCTAACAAAACCTGTGTCTTGTGACCTGGACACCTGATCTCATTTTCTAGGCAACCTCAATTTGGTACTCCATTCAAAAAGATAATGAATGAATGAATAAATGAATGAATGTGGGTATGATTGATAATTAACATATCAAATTGCTGAAAGGCAGTGTGCCCATCTCCATTAGACACAATGGAGATTAGGGAGGACATATGATCTTGAATGAATGAGATATTCTAGAACTAGAGATGAAAAGGCCAGATGGTCTGTTAGGATTAGGGTAAAGCCAAGATTGTACTTCCCCAACTGAAACTGGAGAAAACATTTTGAATAAAATTATGGGTGGGGCCAAACTCAGGACACACAGTTCCAGAGACAGAGTTCAATCAAGACAGCTCCATCAGCACAGCTCCAGGAGACAGACGGTTCCAAGAGACATCTAGGGGACTGAGGGTCTTCCAAGTTTGGCCCACTCTTAAAAACTAAAGTTAAGAGTCAGACTTTTGTTCAAGTGATTGCATAATGTCTTAGCATAGTAACACTGTAAAATCAGAGCTTGGCAAGATGGCTCAGTGGTTAAGAGCACTGTCTACTCTTGCAGAGGATCCAGGTTTGGTTCCCAGCACCCACATAGCAGCTAACATCTGTCCATAGCTTCAGTTCAGGGGATCTGATGCCCTCTTCTGATCTCTGTGGGCACTGCACAACCTAAGTGCAGTTATATACATGCAGGCAATACATTCATACACATAAAATAAAAATACAAATAAATAATTTTTTTTAAAGTAGGACTCAAACCAGCTTTGTAGGATGGTGATGAAGTCATAGTTTAGAGATAAAATAACAGAATGTTTAATGTAGTGCCTGGCATATAGTAGGCACTAAATAAATGATACTATTATACCACTAGTAAAGATAATATTCATCAAAGAGTATTACACACTTGAGTGTGAACAGATATACAAATCCAGTTCATTTTTGTCTTTATGGAAGACGCACACATACATGTACACACACACACAGCCCCCCCCCCACACACACACACGCACACTGAGCTGACTCCCTCCAGTGCGCCTGGTCACTCACAGCCAGTTGCTGCTGCAGAGTCTTCACTTGGTGCTGTAGGGTGTCAACCAGCTGGCTCTGCCGCTTGGTTGTACTGTCACTGGTGTATGTGAGCTGGGAAAGACCGTTGAGTGCCAGCTTTAGTCTTTCTACGTCATTAAGCAGTTCAGTTATCTTTAGAGAGAGAGCAAAGGGAAAACATACGTCAGTCACATAAATCTTTTCTAATGAACAGAGTCTCTTTTGAGACTCTGACTGCATGTAGCAGGTAGATAGATAATTGCCAAGGTGGCTATCAACACAACAGACAGCACATGCTTTGTATAACTCCTGGGATTAAATTCTTTTCAATACATTTCTTGCAAAGACAAGACCAACTTAAGAATAAATACGTACATCCTAAGATCAGAACATGAACTTAGTTTTTTCACTTTTGGAGAGGACATCAGGCTCTGTGAGATAAATGAACTATCTCCCAGGTAATATACAGAACACTGGGAGGAGGTTTTATGCAGCTAATTATGGAGAATCAAAGAGCTCGGCTCACGTGTCTATAGAATTAACTTATGAGCCCTGTTCTCTTCAGGGGCATATTATTTATTTAAACAGTTTAAAAAATATTTAATTTTTATTCATGTAGGGGGAGGGGTGTGCACAGTGCCTGCAGAGGCCAGAAAACAATATCAGATCCCCGGAGCTGGAGTTACAGGCTGTTATAAGCTGCCTGACATGGATGCTGGGAACTGAACTTAAGTCCTCAGGAAGAGCAGGACGTGTTCTTAACCACTGAGCCATCTCTCCAGCCCAGGAGTTGTAATATTTATTAACTGGCAACATGCACAAGTAGATGCAGGAATTAGCTATTACAGTGATCTATTTACTGTATTCCTAAGAACTTTCCACATAAGCTGAGAGAATTTAAATTCTAGGTCTTATGGGAAGATGAGTTGCTGAGGAGAGCTGGGGCTGAGCCTGCTTTTTCACATCACCATATTCCTCTATCAGGTAAAGGGCAGTTTATGAGTACGTAGTGAATGCATTAAGTTGCAGTCCATCTTCACATGTCATCTCCTTGGCACAAATTATGCAGCTACCAGTTTCAGAGATATTGTTGAGGGCTGGAGAGATGGCTCAGTGGTTAAGAGCACTGGCTGCTCTTGCAGAGGACCCGGGTTCAATTCCTAGCACTCACATGGCAGCTAGCAACTGGCTATAACTCCAGTTCCAGGGGATCCGATGCCTTCTTCTGACCTCCACAGGCATTGCACAGCACAGGGTCATTTAGATACATATAAGCAATACGCTCATACAAATAAAATAATAAAAAATAAAAATAAAAAATATTTTTAAAATACTGTTGAAAATCTATTCTATAAAATTGGACAACAAGGATGAAAATCAAAGGCAAAAGATAAATATAAATCCATTCCTAAAAACTAGGGCTGGAGAGGTGGCTCAGCACTGGTTAAGAGCACTGGCTGATCTTGCAGAAGACCTGGGTTCTGTTCCCAGGACCCACACCATAGCTAATAATCATCCTTAACTCCAGTTCCAGGGGATCCAACACCCTCTTATGGCCTCTGCAGGCACTGCACTTACATATACACAGGCAAAGCACTCACGCACATAAACTAAAATAAATACATAATTTTTAAAAACTGAGTGGGACGATCAATGATCAATTCTCACATGGTCATAGCAAATCCAAAATAAAATTCGCATTTTGGGAAGCAAAATTGTTGGTTGTGGGCTAGACCAGGCAGTCAAGACTTCAGAGGGAAGAGGAAGTGATAAAGAGACATAGGACTCAGCACAAAAAAGACAAAACACGGCAGGGAGGGCACGGTTGGTGGAAACACTTGTAGGCAGAGTGCAGAGTGGCTCGGCCAGCTCAGCGGACTGGTATTCTGGCTGAGTGTGGAAAGCAAGTCTGGATGCTCCCCTGAGACCTCGGCTTCGCTCAGCCTGCAAAACACCACTTTTATTCCTCCCCTCCGTCCCCATTACTCAGAGGTCAGAGACCCACTGGATTGTGTCTATCTTCCTATGAGAAAGTCAACCTTTAGCCTCCCCTTCGCCCTTCAATTCTTGGCTGAGGGAACAGAAGGGAAAAGAAATGCCTCTGATCTTTGTGATTTTTCAGTTTGGAATTTTTCGCTCATAGATCGCCAAATCAGAAAGGTGTAACACTTCTGCACACAGTCCTTAATACTTCTAAGCACAGCCATAACACGTGGGCAGCCTCATGCCTACCTTGTTGTCCTTCGCTTCGATCTGCTGAGCGGACTCCTGTATTCGCTGCTGCAGTTCCATGATGGTGGTGAGGGACTTGTCACACCGTGCCTTCTGGTCCTGGATCTCCTGCTCGATGTTGAGATGGGATAATTCCTTCTTGTCTTGCTTTTGGGCCTGTGAAACCTCCTCACACACCTCATCGTATTTCCTATTCAGATTGGCCAGTTTCTCATTTAAGCTGGAAATCTGGGTCTCTAAATCATCCTTCCTGGCTTTATACTTTGACAACTCGACGACCTCTCTGGTCTCTAGTTTCTTCAGCGCCTGCCTGGTGCTCTGAACCTCAGTCTGCAGTTTGGAGACCTCTTCGGTTTTGTTCCGGCTTTCCTCTTCCTTTTCTCTCAGGCTGGCTTTCATGATCCCCACCTCTTTCTCGAAGGCTTCTTTAACCTGCAGGTGATCGGCCAGGGGCACGGAGGAGCTCTTCTGAGTCTCCAGCAGTTGCTGAAGCCTGCTCACTGTCTGCTGCTCTTTCTCGTAAGACCACTGCACGTTCCTCACTTCTTCCTTTAAGTCCTCGATGGTGCCATTGAGAGACGTTTTCAGAGCCTCCACCTGTTCCAGCGGGACATGCTGTTTTTGCCAGAGACTCTGGGCTGCGAGGATGTCAGAGGTGTGCTTGGCCTTTTCTTCCACCAGCTTCTCTTTCTCATTCTGCAAGTCTGTGTATTTCTGGGACAGGGCCTTCAGCTGTTGGCTGAACTCGTCCGCTTTCCTGCTCAGCGTTCTTTCCTTCTCCCGGTAGCTCTCCACTAGAATGTTCTTCTCCTCTAACTCTTTCTGAAGGGTGGCAAGCTCCTTCTTCAGCCTCTCGTTGTCCCGCTTGCTCTTCTTCACCTCTTCGTCTGCAACACGACACTTGAGGGTCTGTTCTGACAGCTGCTCCTTCAGTTCTTTCTCTGTGACTTTGAACTTCTCCTCACATTCTTTCAGGCGCACCAGGGGGGTGTATTTCAGCTTGATGCATTCTTGGATTGTGTCCAGCTCCTTCTTCTGGGCCTTAATTTCAGCGTGCAGGGTCAGGATCTCCTCCTGGCTGCGGTGGTAGTCAGCTAGGATGGTGGCCTTCGCGTCCTGTGCCTCCTTCAGGCACTGATTAGCCTTGCTCAGCTTACCCGAGTGTTCCTCGAGGCTCACATAGTCCGCCTTCATCTGGTTCTGGGTATTCTCCAAGTTCCTCTTCAACACCTCATTCTCATCTCTTATTCTGACACATTCCTGACTCACGTCTTCCACCTGCTTCTTCAGGTTGAGCATCTCTCTGTTAGTTTTATCTATGGTGCTGTTCAGGGAAGCCTTCATCTCCTCGTGGGTTTTGATGGGCACATACTGGCTTCCCAGACTCTTTTTCAAGGTAGTGTTTTCAGACATGAGCGCCTGGATTTTCTCCTGCTCCTCACCATGTTTGTTATTAAGTTCAGATAGCTGCTTTTTGAGTTCAACGATACTGGATTTCAGAGCCATGATCTCCTTTTCAGGAGCTACAAACCCAGCTTCCAGGCGGCTGACATTCTTATTTAACCTGTCGTTCTCTACCAGAAGCCTCTCCGTTTCCAGTTTCTTCTCAGCGTAACGCTGTGTTACATCCGAAAGCTTTTTATTCAAGTCCTCAAGGCTGGCTTCATGTGACCTCTTCATTTCTTCCCTGACTTTGATAGGGACATAGTGCGTTTTCATGTCTGTAGTGAGGTTATGCACCTGCTGGGTGAGCAGTTTGTTGTCTAGTTGGACCTTTTCCATTTCCTTCTGTAGGGTCTGATTTTTTAGGGTCAGCTCGGTGACCTTCCTCCCTAGCTCTGCTGACCTCTGCTCCAATCTGTTCCTGAGTTGTTCATGTTCCTCTGGCCTGACATGCTGAGTGAGCTTGGCCCGAACATTCTCGAGCTCCCTCTTCAGCTGTCGAATCTCACCAAGCGATTTTTCATATTCTCTTTCCATCACCACTATCTTGTTCGCTTTCTCGTTGACTTCATTAGATAATAAAGTCTTCATGCTTTCGAATTTCTCCGTCGGAGTGGAGAGGGCCAGCTTTGCCAACAACTCTTTTAGCTGGCCCTCCATCTCCGTGACCGTTCGCCCTCTCCTCTCTCGCTCCATCTCGCACGTGCTGCATTCCTGTTGCAATCTCTTGTTCTCTTCCACCAGCCTGCCTTCGTCTCTCTTGAACCCTTCTACCAGCATCTCATTCTGTTTGAGCTGGTTTCTAAGCTTCCCCACCTCTGCCAAAGCACCTTCGTACTTTGCTTTCATATCTTTCAACTGCTCCTTCAGTTCCTCGGCGAGTCGGTGGCTCCCTGCGGCCGCTTCGCTCGTCAGGTGCTCCTTCAGGGCGAGGAAGTGGGTCTGCATCTGTTTGACTTTCCCTTCCGACTCATACATCCTTTTCTGCACATCTTTTAAGGCATCTTCCAGCTGCTTTATCTGTTCATCCGAGTCCTCCTTGACACGTTCACACTCCAAGGCCAAGGCTTTGCACTCTGCTACTTTGTGAGCCAATTCATTCTGGAGTTTCAGGCGGTCTTGTTTCGCTGAGTCACAGAAAGTTCGCATTGCTTCTAATTCTTTCTTTAGAATTTCATTTTCGGAATATGAGGTCTGACTGGGTAAAGAGAGCTCCAATGGTCTTAACATAGACCTGCTTTGCATATGAGCTGGCATGCCCGGGGAAGCGCACTGCAAAAGAAAAAGACACATCAAACACACAAGCCTACAGAAGACACTGACATGACTTGTATTATAGAGTTCTAGAAAGTTTTGGCATCATCAGGAATCAAAGGGTTTCTAGACTAAGTAAGATGAAAGGATAATTTTTTTTAAAAAAAAAACTGATTTTTGTGGTAAGAAAAACAGTTCTTGGGCTGGAAAGATGGCTTAGCAGTTAAGAGCACTTACTGCTCTTGCAGAGGACCTGGGTTCAGTTCCTATCAGCTCACAAGCATCTATTAACTCCCATTCCAGGAGTTCTGACAACCTCTCTGGGCCTCCATGGTAATGCACACAGGGATACACTTACAATGCAGGCAAGACATACACATAAAAATAAAAAGACATGAGTCAAAAATTTTTTTTGAAAAGAAACCTCTGGGTAAGATTTTCTTAGCTTACTCAAAACATTTTGAGAGTTCTGTTCTCTTAACTCTTTCTGACCTCTGGGCCACTTCCTCTTTCTTTCTCCATTCGCCTTACTTCCCTGTTACCCAACAAAACCAATCTACCAAAACACACCTACCTCTTCTCTGCTTCATGGAACAGAGACTACTTCGAACTTCAGACTCTAAAGGAAGCCATCAGAACCCCAAATAAGCACTGCAATTTTATATATGCAAATAATTTCACAGAATATACATTAGTAAACTACTTTTTGACATTTATTTATTTTTATATTTCACATATTTGGGGGTGGGTACACATGTGCCCTAGTACATAAGTGGAGGTCAGAAGACAGTTTATAGGAATCAGTTCTTTCCTTCCACATGTGGGTCTCAGGGATTGAACTCAAGTCATCAGATTTGGAGGCAGGTGCCTTTACCAGCTAAGCCACCTCACTGGATTATATACATTATTAACTTTCTAATAAAATATAAGTGACTTCTAATACCCTCACTGTCAACTCTAATATAATGTTCTGCAAATTTTAAAATGTCACCAAAATAAACCCAGCTGGCATGAGAATTGTCAAAGGAACATCAGTCAACTCACAAAAAAGAAATGAGGTTTTTTTTTTTTCCGTCTGTCAGGAAGATCAATTAAAATTAGAGTACATAATCTGAATACAAATTTTGATAGATAACTTGTTTCCTCCATTAGTTAATGCTGACAAAAAAGAAGTATGATTAAACTTCTGAGTGAACATTCACAGCTACTCAGATACATTAAAACTGCCTTTCTCCAAATCAAGAGAGAGAAAATTGCCAACATGGACAGACGTGTCCTAGTCTTAGTCTGCGTCTAAACTAGTTTTCAACTTACCAGTTACCTTTAGGCTAGTATCACTTGACCAAAAGGCACATACATAGCTTCACAACTTCCATATTTACATTATTACAATCAAATATTTTTCCAGTCTTCCTAAATACTGGGGTTGTTGCCCATTCTCTCTACTAAAAACTCTTAGATCTCTCTCTTCCACATTTTTCCTTCCTTCCTTCCTTCCTTCCTTCCTTCCTTCCTTCCTTCCTTCCTTCTTTCCTTCCTTCCTTCCTTCCATCCTTGTGTATTGTGTAGCCCAGGCTGGCCTCAAACTGTCTATATAGATGAGGATGAGCCTGGACTTCTGATCCTTCTCGGCCTCCATCTCTCCAGTGCTGATCCCAAGTGGAGTCACAGACACAGCCACCACACCAGGCTTATGCAGTGCGGGGGATGGAGCCAGGCTCCGTGCATGCTAGGCAAGCACTCTACCAACTGAGCCACATCCCCAAACCCAAGAGTCTTGGCTCTCTTAAAGAAACCTGGGACAATATTTAGGCCTACTTTTCTGCCTGTGAAGAAAATAACGTAAAAACAAAAATTTTTGAAATCTTTCATGTCCAAGTATACATCAATTCTGCAGGCTGCAGAAAGTCCTAGAAATACAAGCTTTCATTTATTTGCGAATAAAGCTGAAGAACAGATAGGTAAGGAAATCAGCATTATTTTACTTCTCGGAAATTTTCTTTATTTTGAGGTAAATTTCCAAAACAAAGAATATACATTTAATTGCAAAAAAAAAATATTTCAGTGCCCAAACAAATAACTCTTGAATGACTCATGCCCCCCCTCTCCCCTTTACACAGGCAAATATGGAAGGGTTAAGGGTTTGTTGTGATGAAGAGACAAAGAAAAATCGGAAATCCCAACCTTCTTTAAGCCACTGTCACTGCAGACTCTCTAGATGGTACCAAAAACAGCAGTATATGCTTTCATTAAACCCAGAAGAGCAAGACCAACTTGGACAATGAAAAACTTACTCGTGTATGTGTGTGTGTGTGTGTGTGTGTGTATGTGTGTGTGTATCATACAAAGCTATTTCTTCTTTTTAGATGGATGCAAATGTTTTTAAATTTAAAAAAACAAACAATATTACCTGTGAGTCCGTCACATACATTTGACCTTGTTTAAGAAGGATGTCCTCTTTTCCTAAATAAAACCAAAGAAATGACATCTTAAATATTCCTGCCAAGTCAGCTAAATGTTTATTAAGTATAATTTCCTGTCCTTGAAACATCTGTAACTCCAGCTCCAAGGGATCCAACACCCTCTTCTGGCCTTTGTAGTAACTCCATTCATGTGTACATACCCCCACACAGGCATATAATTAAAAATAAAACGAATCTTAAAACATATGTAAGACTTTTAGGCTAAACAGGCTACAGCATTACTATAAAATGTATAATCACTCAAAATTTATGGGATTAAACATAACTATTGAACTTAGCTAGAGAATAGCTTTAATACTTGCTAAGAAGCAAAAAGTTAAATTCTAGAGAAACTGTGTCAAATGGAGAATAAATCAAAAGTGAGGATGAATTATAGGTAGTCTGAAAATAACAGATCAATAAATGTGTATGAACCTTAGAATTGTTAAGTGTTCACCCACATTGAGATCAATTTCTCCCAATTAGAAAACTATATTTGTTTCTTTCTATTTTTTTTTAAAAAAGGCCCAAATATCACAAGATAGACATCTACCATTTCACAAGGTGAGTGTGGTATTTCACACATGTCATTTAAAACTCTAAGTGGTAATGGGAGGCAGTGCCCTGGTGCCTGCCTATGTGATCTTGGAGGCCGCACAGTGCTCAGATGAACTGCCTCCTACTCTATGCCCTGAGGGGAGCATAAAGATGGGCAGGTGTCCCTTAGCAGCAAAAGCACTGCAGTGTGAGACAAATCTATAGGCATAACCAGGGCCTGGAGAGCTGGCTCAGAGGTTAAGAGCACTGGCGGCTCTTACAGAGGACACAAATAAAAAATAAATTATAAAAAAAGATAGGTGTAACTATGCTTTTTAGCTTTAACTTTGTGAACCATAGTGACAAGCCATTCTTTCACACTTACTATTACTGAAGTGACTTCCAGATCCTAAATGGTCACTCTGAAATCAAAAGCAGGAAAACATTTCAGGAGAATGCAGATCCATTTTGTCAAATGCTCTATTTTGATTCTTAAAAATCACATTTTTGACATTCCTTGCTTCTCTAGGGTGTTATTCCACTTGATCCCTCAAAGAGATACAGATGCTAGCAACAATTAGAGATCAGATAGGAACAGACTACTTCACTAAGCACTTTAATAAAAGCAGCTAAGTGTTTCAAGGAAAAACTTCAAATCGTGAGCCCCAAAGGAACGGAAACTTGGAACACTCTGTTCGCTGCTGCTTCAGCCTGCAGGGAAGGACGTGCCCACATGCACAGCAAAGTCTCATTTTCCATTCCCACTGTTAGATTGACTAGTAGGCATGAGTGTAACCCCTTCTTTCAGAGTAGACAAAATGCAAACTACCTTTGAAAGCAAAAGGAAACACAGAGCAGGAAATTAAACGGAGGAAAAGGCCTGGACACAGTACAAATTCTGCCAGTGCATCAGTTGGGAAACGGAGGAGGGAGTGGTTTCTGATATTCAGAATTAACACATTTGCACTATTCCTTTCCCAGGTAAGGGAAGTTGAGAGACTAGCACATAAATGAAAATATTCTATTTCAAGAGTAAGAGTATGTAAGTGCTAATAGCTACTTATCAACTTTTAAGTTGGGTGACCATTATAAAAAAAAAAAAGTCCAAGTTTCACACCTAAATTAATGTCACCGCTATTAAACCTCAGGGCCCTAGTACATGGAAAAGCACCTGTGAGCTTACCCAAGTTCTTCATTCCATGCAATATTTAATACTAGACCTTGTAATAATTTACTAAATGGACTCATACATTTAGATGGCTAAGGATGAGGCATACAGAAGTTTGAAAAACTTAATTTGGTTTTGTAATCTTTTCTTAATTTCTCAAATGAAACCAAACACTTAAATGATGATATAAAATTAGCTCATTCTAAAGTACCCTTATTTCTCCATATTTTAAACATGGGTGTGGTGGTGTACATCTTTAATCCCAGCACTCCAAAGGCAAAGGCAGGAAGATTTCTGTGAGTTCAAGGTCCGCTTGGTCTATGCAAGGGGTTCCAGGCCAGCCAGGGCTACATAGTGAAACCCTTTCTCAAAATAATGAATAAATAAATAAAAAGTAAAAGAAAGCAAGGCAAATACTTTAATATTGTTCATTACACAGACTCCATAGTAATAGTAAGTCATTCCTTGATGTGACATGTGTACCAAAATTTACAAATGCTCAGGTCCATAAAATAGTGCATATGTACATCCTCCCACATATTTTAACTCATCTCTAAATAATTTATAATGTCCAAGATAGCATAAATGTTATATAAATAGCTGTTATATGGAATTATTTAGGGAAGAATAATAAGGAAAAAAAGTCTATACACATTCAATATAGATACACATTTTTCCAAATATTTTTGATTTATAATCCTTTCATCTCTGGATGCAGAACCCGTGGGTATGAAGGGCTAACTGCAAATGATGAATTCTTAGTTTTAAATGACTAATTTCATAAATGCTAGGCCCTGTACAGTAGGCCCTTTAATTTTCATTTTTCAATTTTTCTCTTATTTTTGTGGGAGTGGGGGGTAGTGAGCGCACGTGCCATGGCATGCATGTGGAGGGCAGAAGCCAGCTTGTGGAAGTTGGTTCTCTCCTTCCACTAAGTGGGCTCCAGGGATGAAACTCAGATCACCTGGCCTGGCAGCAAGGTCCTTCATCTGCTGAACCGTTTCACTGGCCCTTTAATTTTCTTTTTGCAAGTAAAAAAAAAAAATCATTCTTTGTATAGACAAATCATCATAATTAACATGTATTTGCTAAAGAAAATGTCCCTACAGTATTGAGTGGAAAAGTTACAAAACAGCCTACTGAAGGAGGATGTAATATATATAAATCACACAAAGGACAGGAAGGATATTGGCCAAGTGCCAGCAGCTCTAAGGTTCTATGATCTATTTTCTACTTTTAGTTCACTGACAACCCAGTGAGTCTTATCAGAGATGACAGAGTATATGGGCTCCAGTGGAGAGGGGGCGGGGTTATGGGAGGATGCCAGTGGGGACGGGGGTATAAAGATGATTAAGATTGTTTGAGCTGCTCTGTAGGAAATACACAAAAAAATTCAAAAAAAAGGAAACCATTATGAAAATTTTCTGGAGTGCAGCTTATTCATTCAGAAAGTATGTTTCTGGGTGTTCACTAATGCTAGTTATTATGGGAAGTATGAAAGATTCAGATGTGATTCTTTCTTTGCAGTGCCTAAGAGCACCCTTATAGTTCAGTACAGCTTATTTTTCCTGTGTTACTTCATTACTCTCTCAATAAAACCATTTTCTCTCTCCATGTGTTATACGTATAACAACCAAACAGGGCGTTTCTCTTTCTTCCATCTTTTATCCAGTGTTTGTTTTGTTTAAAGCTAGTGCAATGTCATTTCAGTTAAATCACGTTTGTGTTTAGGACTGTGATGTCAAAGTTATTGTATTATTATGGAAGTTGGTAAATATAAATAAAGTGCATTTTCACAATAAAATTACATCAAACTCATACTCATTTTATCTATTTTCCCTAATAAAGTATACATCTTCCAGAAAAAAAAGGTATATACTGGTTTTGTGATAAGAAAAATAAGTTACTTTCCTATAGCTTACTATGATCTTATTGAAAGTTATAAACTTGACTGGTTTGTCTATAGCTACAGAGAATTATCATATCCCTAAGACATTCAGAGTCTACCTCCTAGAGGTAAAATATAAATAGCATCCAAATTACAGTTGTCAAGCTCTGATGAACACCTCAATGGCCCCAGGTGTACAATTCTAAGTGTAAAACCAGCATGGTAATTAAGAACCACAAAGGTGCCTGGGGGTTCCCACTGCCCATATGTGAACCCCTTACTGGGTAAACCTTTCTGCTCCCCAGCCTCCTTACTTGTAGAGATGATAACAAACCCTGCACCCCGGGATTATGTGTTAATTAACATATGAACACTGCACAAAGCAGCTTGCTGGCTGCTCCCAGGTTTCACAATTAACCATAAAATGTCATTAACACATGAAGAAAGACAGAAGATGATATTGTCAGATTATTCTTGAGCTTATAAAACTGTGTTTCTGAATAATCATTGAAGAAAGTCATCAGTCTAAAATACTATTCTGTCTTATTTTAAAATTGTTACTAAGGCATCATTCTCTTGCAATAAAGTGCCCCAATATTAAGTATGCAGAGCAATGATTTCCACATGTGTACATCCTGTCTAATCACAACCCAGATCAAGGCAGAGAGGTTTGGGGCTGGAGAGATGGCTCAGCACTTAAGAGCACTGGTTGTTCTTGAGGAGGGCCTGGGCTCGGTTCCCAGCACGGCAGCTAACAAGCACCCAAAATTCCAGTTCCAGAGGGGTCCAACAAACTTTTCTGGCCTCTGCAGGTATTACATGCACATGGCACACTTACATACTCATATATGCAAGCAAAACACTAATACACATAAAAAAAATAAAATAAATGAGCCGGGCGTGGTGGCGCACGCCTTTAATCCCAGCACTCCGGAGGCAGAGGCAGGCGGATCTCTGTGAGTTCAAGGCCGGCCAGCCTGGTCTACATAGTGAGTTCCAGGCCAGCTGGGGCTACAGGGAGACCCTGTCTCAAAAATGGATCTCTGTGAGTTCAAGTTCCAGGCCAGCTGGAGCTACAGGGATACTGGCTCAAAAGAAAAAAAAAAAAAAAAAAAAAAAAAAGAAAGATATAGAAGTTTACAGCTGCCCAGGTGCATGTTCATTCCTCACCCTAGGTAATAACCCTTCCCCGAAGGGTGACCTCTCCTCTCCCCTCTAACATCACAGAGCAGTCTTATCTGCTTTAAACTTCAGTAAAATTGTATACTGTGTACCCTTCCTGTCTGATTTCCTTCATCAACATCATGGTCTGTGAGATTCATTCACGTTTTCCATTTGTTTTCATAGTTGCATGCATAGATTTTTATTTACAAAGAAAAGTGCTACTTGTTGCTATGGTCTGCTTGCCATCCAGAATGTGCTGAAATCTACTTCTCATTGTGGTGGAGAGGTAGAGGATTCAGGGACCTGATTAAGCATGAGGCCTCTGCCTTCATGGATGGATTAGTGCCTCATAAAAGAGCTGCAGGGAAGTAGCTGAGACCCCTTTGCCCTTTCACCTTCTGCTAAGTAAAGACACAGCGTTTCCCCCTTCTGCCAAGTATTAACACAGCCAGAAGGCCCTCTCCCAACACCAAATGCAACATCTTGAGATATTTTGGATTTCCTAGATTTGAGGACTGGAGAACTTTATTCTAAAGGGATTTTGACACAGCAGAACAGAGACTAAAATATCTTTAAAATATACTTTAGAGTTTATATCCCCCAGTATACATAAAAGCGTCATGTTGATTCAGCTATCTTTTCATTGAGCATGCCCACCAAGTGATAAATGGTATTTACAAAGTCTATTCCGTGGTCCTGCAAGATGATCCATGCAGTTAAAATTCAAGAGAGTGGTTCCCCTTAGGGCAGGAGAAGTAGACAGTAACACCTAGTAGGAGACACTTCTGGATGCCCATCATGTTGTCTCTTGATCTGGGTGTGCTAAAATTGTGAAAATTCAACTTGAATACTTCTGCTATGTACACATTTTTTTAAAATCTTTTTCAGACAGGGTCTCCCTGTAGCCCCATCTGGCCTAGAACTCACTATGTAGACCAGGCTGGCCTTGAGCTCACAGAGATCCGCCTGCCTCTGCCTTCCAAGTGTTGGGACTAAAGGCATGAGCCATAAAGCCTGATCCATGTACACATTTTAACATCTACTACATCTCAAAAAAAAAAAAAAAGTTTAAAAAAAAATAACCTTGGAAAAAACTAAAACATTGTCTAAACCAAAGATGAATATACAACTTAAATCTCATTAATATACTGCTCTTCCTCTGAAGCATGCTAATGAAATCATATGTACCCAGTCCTTCCAGAAAGAACCTTTCCTGAAAGACCCCTTCTAGAGAGAACCCCAAGAGAATCCTTCCTGAGAGAATACTTCCTGGGAGAACCCTACATTACAGAACTCATCCTAAGGGAGTCCTTCCTGATAGAACCCATCCTGAGAGAACTCTACCTGAGAGAACCTTCCTGAGAGAATACTTTCTGGGAGATACTACGTAAGAAAACCCTTCTTAGGAGAATCCTGAGAGAAACCTACCTGAGAGAACTCGTCCTAAGAGAGCCCTTCCTAGGTAAACCTTGGTAGACTTCTTCCTGAGAGACCCCTTCCTGAGAGACCTCTTCATGAGAGACCCCTTCCTGAGAGACCCCTTCCTAAAAGAACTCTTCCTGAGAGAACTCTTCCTGAGAGAACCCTTCCTGAGAGAACTCTTCCTGAGAGACCCCTTCCTGAGAGAACCATCCTGAGAGAACCCTTCCTGAGAGAACTCTTCCTGAGAGAACCATCCTGAGAGAACTCTTCCTGAGAGACCCCTTCCTGAGAGAACCATCCTGAGAGAACCCTTCCTGAGAGAACCTGTCCTGAGAGAACTCTTCCTGAGAGACCCCTTCCTGAGAGAACCATCCTGAGAGAACCCTTCCTGAGAGAACCATCCTGAGAGAACCCTTCCTGAGAGATCTTCCTGAGAGGCCCCTTCCTGAGAGAACCATCCTGAGAGAACCCTTCCTGAGAGAACTCTTCCTGAGAGAACCATCCTGAGAGAACTCTTCCTGAGAGACCCCTTCCTGAGAGAACCTGTCCTGAGAGAACCCTTCCTGAGAGAACCTGTCCTGAGAGAACTCTTCCTGAGAGACCCCTTCCTGAGAGAACCATCCTGAGAGAACCCTTCCTGAGAGAACCATCCTGAGAGAACCATCCTGAGAGAACCTGTCCTGAGAGAACCATCCTGAGAGAACCTGTCCTGAGAGACCCCTTCCTGAGAGAACCATCCTGAGAGAACCATCCTGAAAGAACCTGTCCTGAGAGAACTCTTCCTGAGAGAACCATCCTGAGAGAACCATCCTGAGAAAACCCTTCCAGAGAGAACCATCCTGAGAGAACCCTTCCAGAGAGAACCATCCTGAGAGAACCCTTCCTGAGAGAACCATCCTGAGAGAACCCTTCCTGGGAGAACCATCCTGAGAGAACCCTTCCTGAGAGAACCATCCTGAGAGAACCCTTCCTGAGAGAACCATCCTGAGAGAACCCTTCCTGAGAGAACCTGTCCTGAGAGAACCATCCTGAGAGAACCATCTTGAGAGAACCCTTCCTGAGAGAACCATCCTGAGAGAACCATCCTGAAGAACCCTTCCTCCTGAGAGAACCCTTCCTGAGAGAACCATCCTGAGAGAACCCTTCCTGAGAGACCCCTTCCTGAGAGAACCCTTCCTGAGAGAACCTGTCCTGAGAGAACCCTTCCTGAGAGAACCCTTCCTGAGAAAACCCTGGGGGTGCCACGGTTCACTTATATGAAATTTCCCTATTATTATTTCATACCAGTACAAGTTTATAGGTTTAAAAAAAAAAAAGAAGTTTTGAAAAGGTAAGACTGGACTCTGAAGGAGGCTGGGGAGGAGAGGCTGGAAAGGAACTAAAGATCACCCACATGCTGGTTGGCTATAGGGCTCTCACCTAGGCTACAAATGTCAGTCAGGAAGGGAACACTACCTCCACTCTGATAAAGAAGCTACAAAGTCGGGGGCTTTGAATAAAGAGTGGATTTATAATTCAAATTCAACTCTGACACCAAGTCCCTTCCTACTACCCACTGTGAATTATGGGAAATAATTTAATCTTTCTGTACCTCAAAATATTTAAATCTGTTTTTCAGAGCCTCAAGAGTTCTTAAGCTTTCTTCATGTTGCTTTTCTTTGGCTGCCAAAAGAGATTTCAGTTTTTCTCTCTGAAATGGAAAGGAAAAAATATATAAAATCACCCTGTGCTTGAGACTGGGTTAAACATAAGCTTTAAAAAATGTGAATTGGAATCGTGGTGAGAACTGGAGTTAATGAATTCTCTAAGCTGGCAGATTTTAACTATTAGTAGAGGTGCTGATTTATATAAATATACCAATAAAACATATCTATACAAGCAATATTATAAAAACATTGGAATTTCTATTGTTTTAAATCAGTATTTTTAGATATTTCTTTATAATGTTTAGAATTTTTGATCTCTTCATGACAGGCTTCATATAAAACTATATTCAAAACAATTTTCCAGCCACATGAAGCTTTTACTTTTCCCTGTAAGCAAAAGGCAGAAACAGAATTTTGCTCTCTCTCAAACAGGACTTTAATCTTTACCACAGTACCATTCTCCATTCACAAAACATCTTTCAGGTTTTTAAAATAAAGTTGATCATCCTACCTCACTTTCTAGATCGTCAGCCACCATCACTTCCTGTTTAAGAAGAAGAACTGTGTTTGAATTCCTGAAAGTTTACCTTAAAAAGCTTGGAAAATAACTTTAACAAAAGAGTGGTACATCTTTAAGACTGGGGACAAGGAAATGAGGAGAAAATGCAGTGAGTGTGTGTGTGTGTGTAAGTTCAGGTGCCAGAGTATACCCTCAGCTGTCATTCTTCCAGTGTCTTCCTCTTGGTTTTTTGAAGCAAGGTCTCTCATAGGTCCTGGGACTCAACAAGTAGGCTGGACTGGCTGTCCGGTGAGCCTCCAATCTCCCCTTTCCGCACAGGGATTCCAAGGGTGTGCCACCATATCTGACTTTTTAAAAAACTGGGTTCTAAGGGATTGGACTGAGGTCCTCAAGCTTGCAAGGCAAGCACTTTACCCCCTCAGCCATCACCCCAGTCCTTTGTTATTATCACACACATAAGTGACTGGTCAGTGCCTTCTTTTTGGTATTAGCTTTCTCATTGTGACATGTCTTATATGTGAGTACAAATAATGTCCTAATTCAAAGCTTCAAATCACTTAGAGCATGATAAAATGACCATCAGCTCCACTATCTTTGTACATTTACTTGAAAGGAATACATGCATTCTATATTTCTAAAGTCCAGGGTTAAATACATGTTAGATCAAAATAGTTATTTACTTTTTGTGCAAAACTGCTACATCACAACTTGTCCTATGGGAAGCTCTTGTGGCCAGGACTGAGTCTTCACATCAGTCATCTTGGAAGCAGATCCTTTAGACTCAAGGACACTAGGGTTCCACCAATTGTGTGAGTGCCACCTAATGAGCGGCCAGATCACAGTACTATGCTATTTCCAGAAAGCACCTACTGGTTTAAGAGCAACTTGTTACTCATTACTAAACAAGTGACACATCTTGCACGTATCTGCAGTTATCTTTATTTTATCCTTTCATTGGGTTGGGCATTTGACTTACTATAAATTTATAGTATGAAACTGCTTTTCTTCAAAAATCTGAAGGCATCTTTCCACTGTCTTTTCACTTTGGTGTTACAATTGCAAGATTCAAAGCCATTTTCATCTCTGATCCTTGAGCCTGTGATGACATTGGGGGGGTGGGACATTTGTAGGATTGTCTTTGTCTTTGGTTCCCTAAAACTTCATGACACTTTCCTCCCAGCATGGAAAAAAATCACGTCATTCAGCTCTGAGAAATTTAAAGGTATTTTATTGATGATTTTCATTCCTCATTCTCTTTTTCTGAGACACCTACTAAGTCAGAGGTTGGGCCTCTTAGCCTGTTTTCTACTCTTCCTACTTTTTTCTCTATTTGCCGACTCTGTATCTTTTCCTTATATTTCCAGGGCATTTTCTCAGCTCTATTTTTGATATTAGGATGTTTCCTGTATAAGGCATCCTACTTTAAACTCATAGACAAAACATCCTTGTGTCTCATGGATGGCAGTACCAGTGGGCAGTTTGGGGTTTTACTTTTGGATTTCCTTTCCCTGTACCATCCATTGCCTCTGTGTTTCTGCAGTGTTTGCCTAGTATCTACCTTCAGGACTGAGGCTCTCTGAATATCTGACACCTCGGTTTCTCTTCAGTTCAAGAGGGGGGAACGCAGAAGTGGACTGAAAGGAAGGTCTATGCCTGTGTGTGACAAGGGGCTTCACTGCAAGATGATGGGAGCAGGCTTACTAGCTAAGGAATCTTGATTTCAGTATCTAGAATAGATTGCAAGGATAAAGTTAGAGAAAGTCAGAATGGAAAGAAGAACCATGGCCTCCCTCTTACTGATGACATAAAAACATCATACATGACTGTACCCATGACAAGTCAGGTTCATGATAATACACGCATTTAAAGAGTGACTTGTTCTTAGTTACTAAAATTCAAGCATTTTCTCCTTTCCTTCTAAAACTAATGAGTTATGGGTGTTTCCTCACACATACAACTTTGTCTTTTTCTTTTCTTTTTTTTCATTCCAGAGAATGTAACACAGACCACTGCTTCGGTGACTCTGCTTGGAGCAGTGCTTCCTGGACTACATCCTCATCCCCCTTTACTTCCTTCAAACTCAATGGAAGCAACAGCTGCCACAGGAAGTGCTCCTCAGGCACAGCAGCCCATGATGCTCTCTCCTCTCACCTAAATATTCCTTACACTGTCTCAACAGACTGCTGCTGCTTTAAATATAACATTAAAAGTTTGAAGTGAAGGGGCCGGAGAGATGGGTCAGTGGTTAAGAACACTGCCTATTCTTGCAAAGGACCTAGGTTCAGTTCCCAGTACCCATATGGCAGCTAATAACCATTTATAACTCTAATTCCAAGGGATCTACTGCTCTTTTCTGGCCTCTGTAGACATTGTACACAATTGCAATTACATACATGTGTGCAATACATTCATTCACATAAAATAAATAAGTTAAAAAAAATTTTAAAGTCTAATGAGGGGTTTGGTCCCAGTAAGATACGATTCTCCACAAGAACGATGATTTCATTTTACCTCCTTCAGCACTATTACTTGAAGAGACAAGTCACAGGCAAAAATTCATTGTTGATGATGATTACATGTAGTAAAGACAATTTGGGAATTCTTTTATATATTATGCAGAGTATTTACCTCATTCAGCTGTAACTGTAAACCATTGACTTTATCCACTAATATTCTTTGTTCTTGCTGAATTTTTCTCAACCTTTCCTTCAAATCTTCATTTTCAATCTCCAGATCCTTTAATAAGAAAACAGACAATCTTAAAAGAACAATAATTCAGGGAGAAGATTTTAAAAACAGACTTCTGTCATATACAGAGATATATATACAGAAAATAATTTTTGGGGGGGGTGTTTTTGAGACAGGGTCTCCCTGTAGTCCCAGCTGGCCTGGAACTCACTATGTAGACCAGGCTAGACTTGAATTAAAAGTGTGTACCACCACACCTGGCTTATAGGAAATAGTTTTAAGTATAAATGATAGAGGAAATTCTTTGGAGGGAATGAAGAGATGGCTCAGTGGTCAAGAGTACCTGCTGCTCTTGCAGAGGACCCAAGGTCAGTTCCCAGCACCCATATTAGGTGGCTCCACAACTTCAACTCCAGCCCCAGAAAATCCAATGCTTTCTTCTGGCCTCCGCAGACTCTGCACTCCCATGTACATACACAGATGCACACACATACACATAATGTTTTTAAAATCTTTTATTTATTTTTATTTTATGTGCATGTATTTTGCCTGCATATATATATAGCACGTGCATGCAATGCCCATTGGAGACCAGAAGAGGACACTGTATCCAAGTTTTGGATGGTGGTCACCACCATGTGGGTGCTGGGAACAGAACCTATGAGTGCTCTTAAAGCTGAGTCAACTCTCTAGCTTCTTTTTTTTATAGAATTTTTTTGGATGTTTTGCTTAGTTTGCAGTGCTTCGGTTTTAAACTCAGGGTCTTGGACATGCTCTACCATTGAGCCAGAGCCCTAGCCCATCATATACTAGTTTAAATGACACAGGATTGAGAAGTCTGAAGATTACTAATGCCTATAACATACAATAAGGGCGAGTATAAACAAAACATCAAATAACTGTGATTCCAATAAATAAGTAAAGGCAGCACAAGGAAGCAGAAACGGGCAGAAGAACAAGGCGTGTTGACCTTTGTTTAAGACTTCTCAAAGTTATTTGACTGTTCTGGTGTTTCTCTTACATCAATCCTCATTTCAAGGCTCTGAGGGCAATTCAGCTTCCTATTTAAGAGTTCAGTTCAATTTTGTAAAAAAAAATTTAAAAAAATTTTTTTAATTATGTGTATGTATGTCTGTGTGATGACATGCACACATGAATAAAGTGCTCTGGGAGGTAGGAAGAGGATGTCAGAGCCTCTGGAACTGGACTTACAGGGGGTTGTGAATTGCCACATGTGGGCGTTGGGAAGCAAACTTTGCTCCTCTACAAGAGCAGGACACACTCAGCCACTGAGCCATCTCTCCAGCCCCATTTTTTTTTTTTTGGAGACAGAGTCTTACTCTGTAGCCTTGGCTGGCCTCAAACTCATGGCAATCCTCCTCCCCAATTTCCCAAATTGTGGGATTACATGCAGAAGTCACTATAGTTCACACCCTTATGGCTATATAATAAACCAAGAAACCCAAATAAAATGTCTTCATTCTGTCACACTGAAAGTAGCTGTTTGGTTTATAATTTAATGATGCTTCAATCATAAAGTAAACTAATTATGGGTTTTTCTCCAACATACTACACATAATAATTAGTTGTTAAACTTTAACCAGCATGAAAGTAAAAAGCAGTGGGTGTTTAGCTGAACAAACCAAAATAAATGCTTCTTTAAATTAAGGTTTTATTTTATTTACACTGAACACTATTACTTTTATCAAAATAATTTTCCAAAATGAACATAATGTATGGTTTATATGACAAAGATACATTTAAATCAGCCAAGAGTTATATAAAGTTGTTAAATTATGTTCCTTGTAATGTACACTGAAATAATGTCTCCTATACCCACATTTGTAATGTTACATGGTTTGACAGTATAACATTGATTAAACACTCATAAAGAAAGCAAATTCCAGTTAAGGGACTTCCAAGGAGCCCACCACAGACCATACTGTCTTTTATGTCTCCACATCTCCCCCATTCCACTACAGTAATGCTACAGTTTGTTTTCTTAAATTACATTTATTTATTTGTGTGTGTAACTGTGCAGGTACATGTGCCACAGTGCATGTGTCAAGGTCAGAGGACAACTTTTGGGAGTCAATTCTCTGCTTCTATTGTGTGGGACTCAGGGATCAAACTCAGGTCATCAGGCTTGGCAGCAAGCACCGATCCACATCACTGGCCCTGCAATGCTTTATAAAGGAAGATACTGTACTGCACACTTTTTTACTTTTTACCTGATAGTTTTGATGCTCCCTCTGATTTGACTTCATGGTTCCTTCTTCTTGAATGTGCAAATTCCGCTTTGATAAAACATTAAGAAAACACAGGTTAGCATGTACGAGGCAAAAAAGTACATTTTTCCTCAATGGCATTACACCCATTGGTGGTTTTCAGGTCATACAGTTTTCCTGCACACAACACAAGGTGGCAGCATTTCCACTTAAAACCCCCAAACAGGACGTATCTTAAAAGATGAGGCTTTAATAAATTACAGGGTGATTTATTTTAAAATACAAGCAGAATTCCAAAATTCTACTAAAGACTTATTTTAATTAAGGTCACGTTTGAAAAAAGAAAGTGTATACTAGACAATAAAAACAAAGAAACAAGAGTGCAGCAAAGCACCATTACTTATGCACCACTCCCAAAGGAAGAATGCAGTCCAAAAAAACAATGAAGTGGAGGAAGAGGAAATCACACTAAGTTTGAAAGACAATGCAGGATGTATTTACTTCTCTGAGCCCAGCAGAAACAAAAGCTCCCAGCCTGTGAAGGAAGAGACGGACTAGGCCCAAGCAGTACAAAGGTTCCTAAATAGCCAAATCAGGCATTTGCTCTGTTTTCTGCACTTACTGCTTTGAAACTTTATTCCCTTTATTCCAGCTCAGAGAACCACTTTAACAAAAACACAACACGATGATTACACAAGAGAACAAATAACCTCCGCCTTTGTTCCACCCAAATTAATCTTTAAATCTGGACAATAACTAAACAGAAAGCAGTTTCTGTTCTTGAATTTTTTTCTTTTAAAAGCTATCTCTTTAATTCTCCAAGACAATTTTTTCATGTTTTTATAATACTGATTTGACTCTTGTTGAATGAACCAAGTTTTCAAACCATCGTTGAATGGGTCTGGACAGAGAAGAGAGCCAGGCTCCATGACAGAGGTGTTCTGGGGCCATAATGTGCTCCTCTTTGTCAGCCTACTTTCTCCCATCAAATGGAATCTGGCATCGCACAACATTGCTTCCTACTGTTCTCTCTCTCTCTTCCTCCTGTTCCAATCCACACCCACTTGCTGCCTCCACTCTCCACCCAGCCAAGCTCAGACATACTAAGTCAAGTCCATTCCAGGCTGCTGACAAATTCCTTAAAGAACCTCCTAGGACCTCTGGCCAAGGTGGGTGTGCGCACAGCACAGGTGGAGCAGTTTGGGCTCCCATCCTGATTTCTGCTACTCAGCTGACCTCTGGTGAGATACATCCCAAGTCCTTCCATACAAAGCCCTTCTTTTTCTGCATGTATGTAAGTGCATCTGTGTTGAACCCGGGTCTTCTGCAAGAACAGCCAGTGCTCTTAATTGCTGAGCCATTTCTTCAGCCCCATAAAGCCCTTCTTAATGTGGCACTTGGCTACTTTACTAGTCTCTTCTGCCTCTACCATGCACACACACCCTCGATCACTCTGACCTTCTACTGCCCCAGGGAGGCTACCACACACTCCTTCAGCAGGGACTGGGCCTTCCCTCAGCCTGTGTGGCTTCTCCCAGCCCTGGCTCTGGTCTGTATCTTCATGCCTCTCTGCAGTTTTTCTTCACAGCTTCTTTGTGTGCCTACTGTTTGTCTCCCTTCCTAACCTGAAAGATCCACAAGGGCAGGGACTTGGCACACCACAAATTCCTCAGCACTTAGAACAGCAATTGGTACACCGTAGGTGTTTAACAGATGTTTGCTGAACAAACAACCAAGCTGCCATTTACCACTATATTGTGCACTTCCTAACAAGGAAATCAAATCTTATCTATTGCTGTTATTCTATGTATTCAATAAACAATGGAAATATAGGACTTAGGAGCCATTAGGCTAACTGATCCCAGCAAAATATGAACTCCTTCCATTCATTCAGATAATTCTTCCAGCACCAAGCAAAGAGCCATTATCATATGAATAATTGATGTTTTTGGGTTGATTGATTTTAATTTTATGTGTACAAGTGTACTGCCTGCATGTATGTGTGTCCATGCCATGCAATGCCCGTGGAGGCAGCAAGAAGGCATAGAATCCCCTGGAACTGGACTTACAAACAGTTGTGAGCCTTCATATGGGTGCTGGGGACTGAACTTGGGTCCTCTGCAAGAGCAGCCAGTGCTCTTAACCATTGAGCCATCTGTCAAGTCCCAATAATGTTTGGGTTTTAAGATTTATTTTTATTTTTAACTCTGTGTATGTGTGTGTGTGTGTGTGTGTGTGTGTGTGTGTGTGTGCCTGTGCCTGTATGTAGGTATGTGCTCATGATTGCAAGTGCCCACAGAGGTCAGAAGCATGGGATTCCCTGGAGCTAGTTTCAGGCAGTTGTAGGCTGCCAAGTAGGTGCTGGAAATCAAACTCGTCCTCCAGAAGAACAGCATGTGCTCATCACCACTGAGTCATCTCTCCAGTTTGAATAATGCTTTATCTTAATATAAACATACAAGTCACCACTACTCTTCTTAGACTACTGAGGAACAGGGAGAACATTGAAAACAGTTGCGCCGGATAGAAAAGTTATCAACAGACAAGACCCATGCATGAATGTGCTACATCGTTCCGATGGAATGAAAAGATGATGAAATGATCTGGATTTCAGATTGGGTACGAGGTAGAGGGATGATGTAATGATCTGGATTTCAGATCGGGTACGAGGTAGAGGGATGATGAAATGATCTGGATTTCAGATCGGGTAGAGGTAGGGGGATGATGTAATGATCTGGATTTCAGATCAGGTACGAGGTAGAGGGATGATGTAATGATCTGGATTTCAGATCGGGTACGAGGTAGAGGGATGATGTAATGATCTGGATTTCAGATCGGGTACGAGGTAGAGGGATGATGTAATGATCTGGATTTCAGGTCGGGTACGAGGTAGAGGGATGATGTAATGATCTGGATTTCAGGTCGGGTACGAGGTAGAGGGATGATGTAATGGTGACAAGAGATGCTCAGAAAGTACCTGATTCCTTCCTCCTCAGAGTTTGGAAGTGCCCAGGTTCCTCTCACTAGAGCAAAGCTGAGGGCCTGGAAGGAAGCTGCCAGCAGAAGAGGAACACTGTCTGCACTAGCTCTGAACCCAGGGTGTGGGGACCAGCCCCACTCAAGGTTCAAACTAGGCGTGAAACAGGGTTACACTATGATTAGTCAGAATTAGTACAAAGTATGAAGTGTTTTGCCTATTATGCTAGTTTGAAAAATTAAGTCCTCAATTACGTACAGAAAAAAAAGATGAAAACCTTAACAATGACACTAAAATCATAACATATCAATTTTGAACTGTGATCAGCCGGCCATGGTGGCACATGACTCTTATTCCAGCACTCAAGGGAAACTGAGGCAGAGGGGCAGCAAATTCAAGGCTAGCCTAGGCTACATAGCAAGACTGTCTCCAAAAACAAGTCTACTTTTTGCTCATTTGTTTTCTCTCTCTCTTTTTCTTCTTTCTTGTTTTTGTTTTTGTTTTGTTTTGTTTTGTTTTTTGGAGACCTGTAGCCCCCGCTGTCCTGAAACTCACTAGGTAGACTAGGCTGGTCTTGACCTCACACAGATCAAGCCTGCCTCTGCCTGAGTGCTGGGACTAAAGGTGTGTGCCACCACACCCAACTTTTCATCATTTCTTATTGTGCTGGAAGATTCTTCCCATAACAGTCATATTTGGCTCTGTAGTGAAGGGAGGGAAGGGGAAAATTCTCTAAGATCAATGGATCAAAATTCATTGAAAAATCTCAATAAGGTCAGTATCTCATACACAGAAGAGCTGGGTGTTTGAGGTCCCAGTCATGAGGTTATTTTCCATTGGAGACCTTTACTATAATTAAGCTCCCTGTGTCAAATTGAGTGACACAGTTTCTCAACAGTACCTCATGACCTGAATGCTTGGGCTCTTCATGGGCACTGATTACCTGAGAGCAGCCAGGATGCACTCGAACTCTGAACACCACATATGTAACCACTAGACTATTTTACTAAGACATTACTTAAATTGCACAGTCCATATGATTTTTAAAAATTAAAGTGAAGACTTACCTGTTGCAAAGATGGTGCTTTCCTCCAAAGTTCTCTCCCTAAAGAGAGAAAAACCATGAAATAGCAGAGAAACTTAAATAGCTAGGCACCCCTAACTGTATCATCCAGACCATATTAAATAGAGTTTAAAGTTTCCTTTAAAGCTTACTAGTTTTTAAGTTGTTTCTAAAACTTATGTTTAAAACAATAATCAAACAGTATTTTTTTTTTTTGCCAACCAAATTAGCTGGGTTTTTTGTTTGTTTGTTTGTTTGTTTTTAACATGATGATATTCAGGTAAATTGAATATGCATGTCTTGAAACCCAGTGATTCAATTCTAGGGACTGATCTTTTTAAAAAAGATTTATTTTATTTTATTTTTTTTTGTGTGTGTGTGTGTGTGTGTGTGTGTGTGTGTGTGTGTGTGCAGGTATATCAGTGTACAGAGGCCAGGAAAGGGTGTCAGCTCCCTGGGTAGAGTTACAGGCAGTTGTGCAGCACCTGATGTGGGTGTTGAGAACTGAAGCCATGTCTTAATTGCTGAGCCATCTCTCCAGTCCCAAATATTTTAAATACATGTATAAACAATGATATTTGACTTTGTAGGTATAGAAGTAGGGCACCTTCCTCTTCCTTATCAAAAAAAAAAAAATCGACGTGTACAATTCTTTTTTTTTGTTTAATCTTTTTGAGACAAGATCTTCCTATAGCCCAAGCAGGCCTCAAACTTACCTTGCTATGTAGAACAGGCTGGCCTTGATCTCAAAGAGATCTGCCTGCCTCTGCCTCCCAAGTGCTGGGATGAAAGGTGTGAGTCACCATACCTGGCAGCATGTACAATCTTTATGTATCCATTAAAAACATTAGTAAAACACCTATGCTGCCATTTCTTCCTCAGTCTCTAAATTAATTCATATTGATTACAGACAAGATGTGTGGCCCAACTGCCTTGAAATAACTGACTCTGTCGTAAGCCAATCATAGTGGAAAGATGAGCCAACACTGTTTACTGCTGCCCACTGACTTAGTCTTAAAAAAAAATTGCGCTTGGGACTAGAGAGAAGGCCCAGCAGTTAAAAGCACTCACTGCTCTTGCAAAGGACCCAAGTTTGGTTCCCAGCACCCAAGTCAGGTGGCTCACAACTGCTTATAACTCCATCTCCTTAGGCACCTGCACTCACATGCACAAACCCACACACAGACACAAATATATGCATAAAATTAAGAATAAAAACTTCAAAATCTTTTTTAAAGGCCCTGTCCTTTATTCACCAGCACTTTTCTAGTTCTAGAACACTGCTGGTACCTTTGCTGGTGTTTTCTGACGCGGTCTTCAGCAAGGTTAGGATGTCCAGGTTGTCACCGATTCTTGCATAGTAAGAACTGTCATGGCCAAGGGCATCCAGCAAGGTCACATCAGCACCATTTTTAACCAAGACTTCCACGGCATCTTTGCAACCATACTCACAACCCAGCATGAGAGCAGTTCTGAAGGAGATGGGAAAATACAAGACCTTGAAGAAAACCTAAGGAATGTTTTAGAAATCCTCTTTTTAAAGAGAGATTCTAGAAGTTACACTTGTTACAGATTCAGTGGCTATATCATCCTGTTATCTTGTATTTTTAGCTCCATTACATTTATTAAAAAATTAGCTTCATGTTTAGTTTGCAGAGCTAAAATCTATCCTTTTTTTGTGGTCTTTTTGAGACAGGGTCTCCCTGTAGCCCCAGCTGACCTTGAACTCACTAGGTAGACCAGGTTGGCCTTGGAACTCACAGAGATCCACCTGCCTCTGCCTCCCATTTGTGGCCACCACACCAGGTTCCTTCTATCTTCTTTTTGTTGTTGCTGTTGTTATTTTGTTTCTTTGAGACAAGGTCCCTTGTATCCTAGGCTGGCCTTGAACTTATTATGTAGCTGAGGATGACTTTCAACTGATCCTCCTGCCTCTACTTCCCATGTGCTAGGAGTACAGGTGTTCATCATCACACCAATCTCTCTATCAGTAGCTTACTTTATTCTAGTTCTTCAATGCTCTGTAAATAATTATCACAAAATATTTTGTAACTACTGTTGTCACCCCATTTGCTCAAAACTCAACTATTCAAAGTCCTTTAGTGAATTAAACTGCACCAGGAAAACTTTCAAATTCAAAACCTTCCTCCCCCCAGAGGGAAATCAGATTCTGTTCCCAATGGATGTCCCATTTAAAGAGCCTTGCTAGGCTGGGGGTGTGGCTTAGAGAGTATAGTGCTTGCCTCCCATACATGAAGCCCTGAGTTTGATCCCCGGCACCTTACAGGCAAGGTAGCCATGTCTGTCATTTTAGCACTCAGGAGGTGGGGGCCTGAGGTTCAGAGTTCAAGGTAATCCTCCTCTTCCACTACATAGCAAGTTACCTATAATACATGAGACACTGTCTCAAGGGAAAGAAACAAACAAACAACAACAACAACAACAAAATTAGGCTAAAGATACTTGCTTCCCCAAATGTAGGCCTTCCATATCTTTAGACATCATTTCAAATCTCTCTCATCACATCAGCTTTCCTCAGTCACAGCCACACACCATGAAGCACTGCTTTACCCTGCCATAGATTCTCATGGAAACTCAGAAGGACCTAAGAAATTATTTTGTCAAATCTGCTTTTATCACAGTGGGAACCAACACCTGATGAAAAAAGTGACTGATCCTATATCTACTACAGTGACTGATCCTATATCTATCTACTCAAGGAATTTATCCTATATCTATTAAAGTGACTTGTTCTAATTCTACATCCACTAGAGTGATCCTCTATCTGCTAAAGTGACTGACCCTGTACCTATTAAAGTGTCTGACCCTAAATCTACCAAAGTGATTGACTCTATGTCTACTAAAGTAACTGACCCCATGTCTACTAAAGTGACTGACCCCGTGTCTACTAAAGTGACTGACCCCATGTCTACTAAAGTGACTGACCCCATGTCTACTAAAGTGACTGACCCCATGTCTACTTAAGTGACTGACCCTGTATCTACTAAAGTGACTGACCCTGTATCTACTAAAGTGACTGACCCCGTATCTACTAAAGTGACTGACCCTGTATCTACTAAAGTGACTGACCCCATGTCTACTAAAGTGACCAACCCTATAGCTAACTCTGCCTTCAATTGCAAACACTGGATTTCCTAAGGAACTTTATTCCTGCTCCCTCCGGTATGTGCTCCTTACTAACCATGCCTTCTTCCATAATTGTTGTCATAAAATTCTATACAAAATAGGCACTAATAAAGTTTGTATATTGGATTCAGAAATGCTAAAGATAAAATAAGGAAAAAAAACTTCAATGGTATCAGAAGCCTATACTTGTAAAACTATCTGCTGCCTGGCTCATACAATACACTTTGCTTTTCCTCACAATTTTTGTGAATTTCCAGTGAAAACAAAAAGTGCTTTGAAAATGAGATCCATTAAAATATAGGCACAGATCAATGATATCATCTTTCTTTGATCCTAAAATGTTATTTTAGAATGAAATCTCTTAGTCATGCACAGAACCAGATTATAATAGCTACAAAAACAAAGTAACGCAAATTTGTCACTTTCTTAATCACATTGTGACTTAATTGCTTAAGAATTTCCTCCTCTGAAATAGGTGACAACAAAGTGGACTAAGAGAGTGAAGGGAGGGCTTCGAAAGGGAGGAAGGGGGACTGGGGGGCGGGGTGAGTGTGCCCAGCGTACAATACATATTTGTATAAAAATGACCTTGTGGGCCCGCTGTGGTGGTACATGTCTTTAACCCAGCACTCAGAAGGCAGAAGCAGGCGGACAGATCAAGGCCAGCCTGGTCTACTTCATGAGTTCCAGGCTAGCTGGGGCTATAGGGAGACTCTGTCTCAAAAGATAAAAAAAAAAAATAAAATATAAAAAAATAAATGACCTTGTGGAACACAGCACCATGTGAACAGACACAATGAGAATTTCAGAGAATATTTTATTTTTATCTTTTTGAGGCAAAGCCTCCCTGTAGCTCCAGCTAGCCTGGAACTCACTATGTAGACCAGGCTAGACACAATCTCAAAGAGATTCACCTGCTTCTCCCTCCCAAGTGCTGGGATTAAAGACAGGTACCACCATAGAAATAAAATAGAATAGGATAAAATAGAAAATATTAAAAAAAAAATATCTGAGACCAGGTGTGGTGGCACATGCCTTTAATCCCAGCACTCAGGAGGCAGAGGCAGGTAGATGGATCTCTGTGAGTTCAAGGCCAGTCTACATAGTGAGTTCCAGGACAGCTGGGGCTAAAGGGAGACCCTGTCTCAAAAAGACCAAAAAATAAAAATAAACAAAAAATCTGAATACTAAAAATTTCAAGCTAAAATCCTGACATCTAAAGACTATTTTATTATATTTTTCTACTTCCAGTGAGTTACAAATAACAGGATGTGTGTTTAGAAGAACGAAATTAAGTAAAAGGACATTTTTTAGTAACTATAAAATTTCGGAAATTTGGGTTATAAATTATTGTAATAAATCAACTAATTGGAGGAATGTTATCCAAGTATTTGTCATCAGAAACTTAGAGACCAAAATCACCAGAATTCCAGGCTAAGCAAGCATCAGAAGGACAGAATAATGGCTAGAAACTACTAGCTCTTGTCAACTGAAAGAACATCAAATACAGAAGGAAAAATTCGTGAAGAGATCCTGTCCTGGTTGGCTTTATCTGCCAACTTCACACAGTTCAGAGTCATCTGAGAGGAATCAACTGAGGAACTGCCTAGATCAGACTGGCCTGAGGGCATGCCTGTGGGAGTTGTCTTGGTTGTTAATTGACCCATGAGGGCCAAGTGGGTGGTACCACCCCTGGGCAGGCAGCCCTGCTCTGTATTGGAAAGAAAGCTGACCATAAGCCAGCCAGCAAGTAAAAAGCACTGTTCCTCTGTGGTTCCTGCTTCAAGTTCCTACCTGAGTTCCTGCCTTGACTTCCCTAAATGATGGGCTGTGATAAACCAATTCCTCCCCTAAGAGGCTTCTGGTCAGAGTGTTTTATCACAGCAACAGAAATCAAACTAGGATAGACTCTTAGGGTATAGAAGTAGACTCAGGTCTGGAGGAGACACCACTGTGCCCTGCAGGTTAAGAGGAAAGACCTAAAGAGAATCCAAACTGGCTCATATCAAGGTCCAGGACACCCAAGAACCACTTTAATCCCAAAGTAGTCACATGGGAAAAAACAGAATGGAGACATAATTAAAAAAAAAAAAATTTGTTGGGCATGGTGGTGCATGCCTGTAATCCCAGCAATTCAGAGACAGAAGCAGGTGGATTTCTGTGAGAATGAGGCCAGCCTGGTCTACATAGTAAGTTCCAGGCCAGCTGGGGCTACAGGGAGACCTTATCTCAAAAAAACATTTTTTGTCCCATTTTTAAAGAGTTAATTTTATAGCCAGGCATGATGGCACACACCTTTAATCCCAGCACTAGGAGCCAGAGGCAGGTGGATCTCTTTGAGTTCAAGGCCAGCCTGGTCTACATAGAGAGTTCCAGGCCAGCTGGGGCTACAGGAAGACCCTGTCTCAAAAAAGACAAAAAAAAAGAAAAAAAAAGGAGTCATTTTATTTTTAGTTATGTGTATGTGTGTCTGTTGGGGGTATATGCACATGAGTATAGCTATCCATGGAGACCAGAAGCATGGAATCTGGCTGGAGCTGCAGTTACAGGAAGTTGTGAGCTGCCCAATGTGGGTGGCTGGGAATGGAATGCCCAGGGCTCTGCAGTATGCACTCTCAACTGCTGAGCCATCTCTCTGGCCCTATTTCTTATTTGTTCCCATTACATAAAAGATTGTTTGTTTAAAAGTTGAAAATAACTGGGGTAGAACTCCTCTTATCTTCAGTTTTCTGACCTAAATGTAGGTGTTGGCCACTGCTTTTTCTCCACGTTCATTCCACCCATTCTCCTCCCCTAGTTCCCTCTCCCTTTTTCAGCAGATTGAAGAAAGTGAGAGGGTGAGAGGTGGTGCTACTTCCAAGGAGGAGCAAGTAAGGGGGTGGGGCATGGAAGGCCAAGCCACAGCTGGCTCATACACACCCTGCATCCAGCAGCTACCCAGAAACCAAAATCAAAGAATCACCTGTTTTGTTTGTCTCTGGAATTAATATCTGCCCCTCTGTCTATCAGCAGTTGACATATCGTCGGCCTACACATCTGCGTAGCCAGAACGAGTGGTGTCCGCCCATCCTAAGCAACAAGAAAAGCAAACTAACATGAAGACCAGACTCCCAGCATGTGAGTGTTACAGCACAGGAGTTGAAATGAGAAGAAACTCATTGACTTACTATGTCTTTGGCATTCACAGAGGCCCCATGGTCACAAAGCAGCTGGATGCTAGAAGGGCAGTCCGCCATTGCTTTGAGAAAGAAAACATGGTAAAGGTGAGCACCTGCTGGTGAGACGTGGTGCTCGTGGGTTCACATGATGGAAGGTAAGCTCTCCAGTTTTGAAACTGCCAAGCCCCACACCCTTCAACCCTCACTCTAGCACTGCAAACCTCAATTTTCTAGCTTAAAATGGATGAGAGAAAATAATTTTAGAATTTTTAAATTATTTATTGGCTTTGCAAAGAATACCACTCTGTATACAAATAAAGAGGGAAAACGCAATAAGTGAAAAGCTAAAGTATGATACAAGAACCTAAAATTGAAGAAAAAAGAAACTGAAAGAAAATTAAGCTCTTAAAAAACTGAAAGGGGCTGCAGAGATGGCTCAGGGGTTAAGAACACTGGCTGCTCTCGCAGAAGACCCAGGTTCATTTCCCAGCACCCACACGATGGCTCACAACTGCCTGCAACCCCAGCTCCAGGGGATCTTAGTCCCTTGTCGGGCCTCCAAGGGCATGACATACATGTGGCACACATGCAAAAGACACACACACAAATATATAAATAAAATTAATGTGGAGCTAGAAAGGTGACTCTGCTGTTAAGAGTACTTGATACTCTTGCAGAGGACCTCAGGTCAGTTCCAGTACCCACATCAGGTGACTCACAACTGCTTGTAACTCTAGTTCCATGAGATCCAATGCTTCTGACCTCCACAGGCATCTGTACATACATGGTACACATAAATACATGCAGACACACATACATCATGCAGACACACACATACACATAAATGAAAATAAATCTTAAAAAATTAAATCTTTTTGGGGGGCTGGAGAGATGGCTCAGCGGTTAAGAGCACTGACTGTTCTTGCAGAGGACCTGGGTTTGATTCCCAGCACCCACATGGCAGCTACAAACTGCCCTTAACTCCAGTTCCAGGGGAATCCAAAGCCCTCTTCTGACCCTCGAGGCATTGTATGACATGGGTGTACTGACATACATGCAGACAGTGTGCTCATATACATAAAATAAAAATATTAAAAAAAAATTTTTGAAAAATTA